TTTTCCAAGTCAGAAATCATTTAGTAATAGCAATTTTCAACTACAACAACTGCAAAAGAAAAAACCTTTTGTTAAGTCTTCCATACAGTTATTAGGCAAGTAAAACCATTGGTTTCATGGAAAAAAAAAATTGTGTAAATAATATTATTGCATTTTCCTTTTTTAAGAGGAATGGATGAATCAATTATAATTAAAGATAAAAACAATATTAGAATCTTTTTATATCAAACATTGCCAAAGCCCCACATTCAAAACAACCTTGACAATTTCCAAAAGAGCTAAGATCTCAGCCTAAATAGCAATTTGGTGTCATCTAGCATAGAGAACCCAAGTATCTAATTTATCAAAGTGAAAGCTAATTAACAATCTTGCATTATCCTGAGCTAGAGTATACAGTATATACATATTTGTTGTAAAATGTGAGTGCACTAGAAGACAAGAATGTGTGATGTGTCAATGGGTATTGAGGTCCCTCTATATGCTGGAAAATGTCAGGATAATACTTTCTCTAATGCTATTGGTGGATCTAGCCATCCTTATCCGCTATACTAGGGTTTTTCAGTGTGACAAAAAGTTGGTATAAAGCATCCTTATAGTAGCCTGCAAAAAAGACAGCCAAGAGAGGAATATTGAGCTAAAATAGGCTGCAATGCAAAAGGGGCTCGAAGCTGAATATAGTGAGTGTTTAATGGGTGATTTCAGGTTTATCCAAGTCTATTTTATTCACTGAAATCCTCATAAAGAAGCTGTAGATGTGTTGAACAGAAAGGAGGGCTTGTGTTGCTGATTTTCTGGTGTAAAAGAGTGATTCAGAGCCTCACCATCTATGAAGGACAGTTCAGAGGTTTGTACAGGTTAAGGCAAGTATATTCTATCTATTTAAAGCTGCAAAAAACCTGTTCTTAAGCATATAAGTGCTGTAGCTAAATTTGAGGTCCCATTCTTCTTTATTGTTGCTGATTTTTGGTTTAAGTAACAGAACTGAGTTATATATATACAAATCATGGTGTGAGTTGATTGTGTACCCTTGGAACATGATTGTGTTAATGATTATAAGCTGTTGAAGTTGGTTTATTTCCTAAAAAGTGGTCAGTGCTTGTTTTGACATCTTAAACCTCATAAGCAAGGGTTTTAAACTTAATACACTGAGATCACAAAACTAAAATTAAAGTGTTATGCCTCAGTTAGTGTGTTCTACATCAGAGCATATGTGTAATGATGGTTCTAGTTTGTGAGAACTCAATTCAGGCCTGAGATTATACGAAATTCCAGAAATACACTTCAGTCAAGCAATTCTGCAGAAACTGTAGCTGAGGACAGTTTGTGAGCTATTTCTTGAATATTAATTGCTGTGTTCGTGTGGTGGTTAATCTGAGCAAGTGTAAGGTGAGGAAACAGAGCCGTGGACCTAAGCTTTCAGAGGTGTGTAGGCAAAATACCAGTTTTACCCCTTCATATTAATGTTAATTCAATGCTGTTGTTTTGAGCCTGCTGTGAGTTTTTCAGTTCTGTTTGTGAGCTGCAAATTGATTTACCTTGCTGCTTTAAGAATTTTTTATGCACCAGCAAGTGTATTTTATGAAGACAAAGCTGTGACAACTGTTGGTGGTACAGGACTGAAATTGAATTAGTGCTATACGCACACAAAACCCTAAAAGCTAAGGTTAGTTGAGTTCAAGCCATTTGAGTGCTGTGATTTACATAAAATTGTTTCTCCCTATGTTGATTTTGTTTTCCCAAGCCCTCTATAATTTTGGGACTGAGACTTAAAAGGCTAACAAAGAGTCTGCAACTTTGACCCTTAAAGTTTAAATAATATTAGTGTCAACAATGCTCTGAAAAATGTGTGCAAGAGAGAGAGAGAGAGAGAGAGAGAGAGAGAGAGTTTTTTACTGGACCCCTTCAACAGGAGGGTATATTCTTCCCAGAGAGTTGGTGTATAAAATGATTAGATATGAATTTTTGACACTTGGACTTAATGGTTTCTATCTTTATCTGAAGTGAGCCCTTTTCAAGGGAAAAGACTAAAAAGGCACTAAACTAGCTTGGAAAGTGGGGGATAGGGTAGGGGGATGAGGCTATGAATAGACTGATGGAATGAGGGCTTTTCACTTTGATTAAATGAAAGAGGCTTTTACATATTCTCCCTTGCAAGTTGAGCAAGTATTTTATTAAAAGACGCAACACACAACTAGCCAAGCTTGAAACAATAATTCAGAAAAGCTATACCCAAAATCAATTAATTTATAATTAATTAAATTTAAGTCAAGTCAAATTTAAAAGTATAGAGAATCAAATAGGAACAAATAATACAAAACATTAACAGAATCAAAACAGATTCACAACTACTTGTATTCATAAAGTTTGCCAGCAAAGCAAGTGGAAGCAAATTTACCGACAAGGGCAGTTAATTCAAACCAATACTAGATATTGTGTATGCCCAAATGCATTACCGACAAGCAAATTTACAGTTAATCTCCACATCTAAACGCAAATAATCTATGTCCAGTACACTGAAAAAGTAACACATGATATAACTTGCTATCTAGTTAACTCTTTCAGTTATCATTTATGACGGAAGATGGTCAAAATAATTCTCGAAATAGTACAAATTAGGGACAAAGAAATATGCAGTCATAACATAACCACAATATGTTCTTTGGGGAAAAAGTCAATGCAATTTTTATCTAAGCCAATGTTCAAATTATATAACTAGTCTAGTGATTCTATACACAACTTCAAAGTTGTACACTAAACACCTACTAAGCCAATGTTCAAATTATATAACCAGACCAATGCTTTTCAAATGAAGCAAGTACCCTTGTTTGTTGATCATATTGGATCACTTACCCAAAAAAAAATATTTATAGAAAAACAAAAATCATTCCCATATTTCCCAGCCACTTCTAAGTTTTAACAACAGAGAAGATTTCTAGGGATAAGGGGTGACACGGAGATTAATATTAAAATGTCACACCTAGATTTATGAAAAAAAATCCAAAACTCCTAATCATTATTATATATATGTGTATGCAGAGAGATAGAGACATAGAGAAGACCATGAAAATTGGCGAATCTTCATGTTAAGTTAGATGATTTAACTTCTATGAAAAAAAAAAAAAAAGATTTCATAACTTACATATGCTTTGCGAGCATCATCATTAGTCCATCCAGTCCCTTCCTTGAAATGTGCATTCTTGTACATTTTGATGGCAGGTCCTACGATACGATCCTCATTCTCTTCATCACTATCTTCATCATTTAAAGTAGCTTCCTTTTGTTTCTTCATTAATTATTTTTATATATTATAAGGTATGGTTGTTGAAAGAAAAAAAAATAAAGAAATCTAAGTATAGTGTTAGATATTACATACCTCTTCATAATGCATTTTGGCAAACGACTTTGACCCAGCATAATGTATCACATCATTCTTTGACCTGTTTTCTTTGTTATGGGCACTAATTTCCTACAAAATAATTGAAAAATGACACAACAAATGAAGGAAAGAATGAAACGTTGAAATCTTTGGAAAACGATATAAATAGAAAAAAATGTAGTAAACTTAACTTGAAATTTTTTTGACATCCACCTATTGCACAAGATCTGCCAGTCCTCGTAAGTTACTTCAGGATGTGTGTTGCGGCGTGCACTTTCTTCTGTTTCGAATTGGTTAAAATGTTCTTTCAAACGGTACCTATACTTCCTATGAGCAATGGCTAATGCGTTATCTGCGCATTCCTTAGCTTTTGAATCCTTTTCACAATCAACTCCGAATTCTTCTTGTAGTTTTTCACATGAATAAGCCATAAATAAATATCATTTTAAAGAAGGAAAAATAACAGAATCCTGATTTTGGAAAGCTAAAAAAGGAAAAATTACAAATTATTTTTCATATCATCTAAATATACAAAGAAATCCCACACAAAGATATGCATTAATTAAGGCAAACCTTTATTTTACAATATAAGAACTGTTTATGAGATTTCGGAATCTTCAGCCAATTGTTATAGCATAGTGGAATGTAATCACGAGCAATGATCCCAAGCTCTCTCTCCCATAAATCTGAATGTTCCTCCACCGGTTTTGAATAATCGTCGTTAAACTTAATCGGAATGATACCCCCATTGTAATTTTTGATTTTATATTTTTTTTTGTTTACAGCTTTTCCACGCTTCGGGAATTCTCTTGAAGAACTTGAAAAATAAAAGACATGAAAGTAACTTGTAAAAGTATTTTGAGACCTACTTTTAGTAAATTCAAAGACCAAGTGTAGTAAATGTAAAGATTAGAAAATATCACCTTCCACTATTGGTTGTGGCTGGGACGATGCAGGAGCATTTTGGGTGAGTTCATTGTTAGATCTCAAAGAGCGACGAGGTTCATTGGATGCCATGGTATATTACAGCAAAAGGCGAATAAAATCTTTATAACGAATCAAAAAATCGATAGATTAGAGAGTAACAATTAAGTAAGAGGGAGAAGTATTAAAATAACAAGACAACAGAAAATTAATATAAAGAAAAATAATAGATAATGTGAATGGAAAAAAAGAAGTAATAATAAGACAAAAAGATAAAAACAATACATATTCTAAAACTTAATGTTCAAGTACTGAAGACAATTTAACTTCAAATTTGCATGTGTTCAACAAAAAATGAATAAAAATAAAACTCATCACATGTCATCCAAATCAGTATCATCTTCACTAAGCAATTCTTCTTCCTCGTCTGAATTGTCTTCAATGGAGATTTCATCATTGTCTTCAAGAAAGTCAAAGTCATAACGTGATTCTTGACTAGTTTTAAGAATTATTTCAGCATCAATACTTTCAACCTCCAAGCCATCCCTATTCAAAGGGAGTGGATCCATGTCAAAGTTTGCCGCCTCAATAACCCTATCCACAATACATGGTTCATCCTCTTGATATGCTGCAGTACACATTTCAGCTGTAAGTTTGCTATCATCCTCCATTTCAGGAACATCATAGGAGCTTCTATGTGTTATATCTTGAATGACCTCCCACGTCCCTCGTAATTTGCTGCTTTGACGAAGAAGGCTTGTTTAGCTTGATTAGCCAACACAAAAGGCTCATCTTTGTACCATTTACGGGCTATGTTTATGCTCCTAAAATAAGTATCACTCTTAATACCAGTCTTTGTGTTGAACCAATCGCATTTAAATAGGACAACCCGCCTTTTCAAAGGGTATTGTAACTCAATGATATCTGTCAAGACGCCATAGTAATCAAGGTCCTCTGTTTTGACTGACACACCACTATTTTGTGTTCTTCGATTTCTCTCCCTTTCCTTTGTATGGAACCTAACTCCGTTTACAATGCAACCAGAATATCGATGTATCCGAGATTCAGGTCCACACGCTAATGAATAAAGGTCATCATTAATTGTTGACTTGTTATGATAATGCTCTTCTTTTATCTATGAAAAATTTGTAGAGTGTTAAACTAATGCACAAGGACACAACATCTAAAAGAAATGGTAGGTATGTCAAGCACATTATAGACTTACCAGTGTTTCCAACCATCTGGGAAATTCTTTTGCGTGTCTGGATTGTACATTAACCGTGTTTTCTTGCTCAAGTGTAGCCTTGTGTGCACTAAATAATTATGTGATATTAATATATGCATTTTATAATTTACAAGTAGATAATTTTAAAAAAAAATAATAATACAATATATAACTTACAGTGCGTATGACTCAATTTCTGGACAATTATTTAACACGTAGAATCGAGCCTTTTGTATGCTTGCAATGTCAAATATTTCTAAACTTCCAGACCCTAAAGGACGAACCACTTGCCTTAGCTGTGAAAAAGTGGACCAATTGGTACGATAGTCGCCCTCGTGATTTCTTTCTTCTCGATTAAATCGTGTCTCAATCCTTTGAAGAAACCTTGAGAAAAATGTAACACATTCATTGTCCACATAAGCTTCGGCAATGGACCCTTCAGGACGTGCCTTATTACGCACATAAGACTTAAGAGTATGTAAAAACCTGCATACACATCAAAATACTTATACATAATTAAATATCATGTAATGCCCCCAAAACATTTTATTTATTAGAAATATACATCACCTTTCAATGGGATACATCCACCGATATTGGGCAGGTCCTGCGATGATAGCCTCACGTGGCAAATGCATAGCTAAGTGCACCATTATGTCAAAAAATGATGGAGGAAATATCATCTCTAACTTGCATATTATAATAGCAATGTCCCTTTCTAATGCCTCTAAGACATCCATTTTAAGGGTCCGACAACACATCTCCTTAAAGAATAAACCAAGCTCTGCTATCGCATTACAAATATCAACGGGTAACAATCCCCGTATAGCTAGAGGGAGGAGACGCTGTAAGAGAATATGTGAATCATGACTTTTCAATCCAGATATCTTACATTCATTGACATTCACACAACGGCTTATGTTCGACGCATAACCATCTGGGAATTTCACCGACTTTAACCAATCACACAATTGCCTTTTTTCATCCTTTGACAATATGTAACGCGCAGGTGGCATCTCAAATTTCTCACCATTACGCCTAAGATGAAGTTCTTTTCTAATACCCATTTCTTCTAAATCCATCCGACTTTTGAACGTATCTTTCGTCTTTCCTTCAATGTTCATTAATGTCCCCAATACGTTATCACATATGTTTTTCTCTATGTGCATAACATCCAAGTTGTGCCGCAACAAAAGTGTTCTCCAATAAGGCAATTCAAAGAATATACTCTTTTTTGTCCAATTAAGTTCCTCCTTCCCACGAGTCCGCTTCTTATTGTTTGGTCCTTTTCTGAATCTAACCTCGGGTATGAGATTAAGTTGTTCTAGAATATCATCACCAGTCAACTGCTTTGGTGGCTGTCTTTCTTCCTTCTCACCATTAAATTGCTTATAACGCTTCCTATAAGCGTGTTCGGATGACAAAAAAATACGAGCTCCCAAGTAACATATCTTCTTTCCATGACTCAAATAACAAGAACATGTGTGTTTGTTACAATTTGGACATGCCATATAACCCTTTGTCATCTATCCGGATGTCATCGCATAGGCCGGAAAATCATGTATAGTCCAAATCAACCCCGCATGCATGTTAAAGTGAGATTTGCTATAGGCATCATATGTCATCACACCATCCATCCACAATTCTTTCAACTCATCGATCAACGGTAGCAGGTACACATCAATGTCATTACCAGGTGATTTAGGACCAGGAATAAGCAATGACATAAACATATATGGTTCCTTCATACATATCCAAGGTGGCAAATTGTAAGGCACAATAATTACAGGCCACATACTATAAGCATTGCTCATGTTACCAAATGGATTAAAACCATCACATGCTAACCCGAGACGAACATTACGAGGATCGGCAGCAAACCAACTATGCTTATTGTCAAATTCCTCCCAAGCTTTTGAATCAGCTGGATGTCTTAACACATTTGTCTCTTTGACGCGTTTCTCCTTATGCCACCGCATGTCTACGGCTGTATCCCTTGACATAAACAATTGTTGAAGCCTGTGTTTCAAAGGAAAGTATCGTAGAACTTTTTGAGGAATTTTCTTACCTTTACCTTCGCGAGATTTATACCTTGACTCACCACACTGTGGACAACATTCTTTACCTTCATTCTCCTTCCAGAATAGAGCACAATCATTTTTACATGCATGGATGGAATCGTATCCGAGACCCAAGTCACGTAACAAGCTTTTAGTCTCGTAATATGACTTTGGCAACGTGTTGTCATCAGGAAGCAACTCCTCTTTTAGCAACTTAAGCAACATGTCAAAACTTTTGTTAGTCATTCGGCCTACAACTTTCATATGGAACAACTTTAATATTGCTGACAACTTAGAGTTTTTCTGACAACCTGGCCACAATTCACATTGTGCGTCATTTAGCAATTTCTTAAATCTTTCGTCTCCCACATCAACTTCAAGTGGATCTTCTGCTTGTTCTGCATTAGTGAATGTTCCCATTCGTACATTATCCAGCAGTTCAAATACATTGTCTTCGTTTCCACGTCCCTCATCGGCATTATCCCCATTGTCGGTATTAACATCATATTCTGTATTAACAGTACTAGTGATGTTAACAGTACCCTCCCCGTGCCATATCCAATTAGTATACGACTTGTACATCCCACACTGAAATAGATGTTTTTCAACCTCCTTAATTGGCTTATACACAGTATTTTTGCACAAACGACACGGACATCTGATCCTACCCTGCCCATCTTTATGTCTGTTAGCCAACTTTATGAAGTTTCTTATGCCTCTATTGTACCCTTCACTACCCTTAGCATGATGATGAATCCAAGACTTATCCATGTAACTGGTTCATCAAAAACAAAATCAATTATGGATACAATAGAATTGATGCATATTGAATATATATGTGTATGTATAACTCTTTCAATTTCCTCATCCATGGTCCTATCCCATTAAATAGAAACATGAATAATGTATTAAAATAAATGCAATTGTGTGGAAATACATTTATTAATTTTTAACACATTATTTTGTATTTCAATTATGTCGAAATGTGTTATAAACATATATATATGTAAGGAACAACTTTATTTTGAACACATTATGTACAAGTATGTTCAGGACAAAAAATGTTATAGCCTCCCAAACAACCAAAAAATGAAGGAACATAATAATTATTATTTTTCCTAAATATAATATCTACCCGGATTAAATTCAAACATATTTATAAGAGAACCTTTCATTTAAACAAATTAAATTGAAGAAAACAATGAAGCTTAAAAATAACATCAATCAAAACATGAACAAACAATTCTTTTAAAATACAAAACAAAATCATATAGTTCTGTCCACAGATTCAACTATATATCACAATGTTAAGACGAAGCCAAAACCTAAGAGATCAAAAACAAAAGCCTCATTTCCTAGCACTTCATTATCTAGATGTGAACTAATTTCTAATGAAAAATCACTAAATCTGAACCAAAAGGAGGATAAAACAACACTATTTAGTTCAAATCCAAAGCCAAACAAAACCACATGTATATAGAAACAAGATATTCAAAAAAAAAAAAAGTAGACTTAAAATCTAATCAAAACACATGGAGACAAATTTACTGAAACAAATAGAACAGGAAATTAAGAAATCACAAGACATTGAAAATTGGACTGTTTAATTACAAAATCACAAGATCACCTAATTTACATCCCATGTGGGACAGAACACATCTACGCAACATAAAAAATGGTGTCTTTGGGTTTGCTTTTTTACTTCTAAATTTTGGCATGAATTCTGATCAGTATACTCGTAGTCTTGTATAAAAGTAAAATTTGGAAATTGAGCAAAGCTGATCTATGTACCCGCTCTAGGTCAATTTCATATTGGAGAATCCAATTATGTATAAAGCCTTGAAACTTCCAATAGTTGAAAGAATTAACATGACTACAATTGTGTCCAGGAATATAAAAATAAAAATAAAAAAATCTGTTATAGCCTCCCAAACAACCAGAAAATGAAGGAACATAATAATTATTTTTTTTCCTAAAGATAATTTTTTCCCAGATTTAATTCAAACAAGTTTTTATTTTTGGGCAACACATGAACAGATCTGTATAGAATACAAAACAAAATCATAGAGTTTTGTCCATAACTTCAACTATATATCACAATGTTAGACGAAACCAAAACCTAAGAGATCAAAAACAAAAGCCCCATTTCCTAGTACTTCATTATCTAGATGTGAACTAATACAAATACTCACACACACACACATATATGTATATATAAAGCCATAAAAAACATGTGTGTTAAATCTATTGAACTGGTTTCTTTTACTTTTTGAACAAAGCACATTGAGTTAGATATAAAAATACTCAACAAATTACACCATACACACAAAACAATAAATAAAGAGATAACTCTAGCCTCACCAAGCCAAAAAGCAAATATACAAATCTAAAAAGCAACGGGAAAAAAAAATTAAATATAGAAAATAAAATACACTTCCAACACCCGTAGAAGAGTAAGTAGTGACACTGAACTTCTAGTCGCTCTGGTAATCCTTATAGAGAAGATCTACAGCACGAAGCAAAGAAGCAAATGATAGAAAACATTCCAAGCTATCAATCCAATCAACTGAGACAAATGGATGGGGTATTCCAAAAATATAAAGGATGGGCACTTTATGCGTTCAACTAAACATTTTGAGCTAATGCAAAATTTACAAATCCATTGAATTGATAACATTTTTGGCTGCTCAAGTGGATCAGTAATGCTGGGGATTAGAGATTTTCTTAAATACACAATACACAAGTACTGTTGCATTCTATAACAATTGGTTACCAAAAAATTGTTAAAATAGCTCAGTAATCTTTTGAAAAATAAAGCTTGAATTTGGTATTTTTAAAACTGTAAGATTAGCAATACAAAATAATAGGGATCATCGAGTCACTTGTTGAATTTAAAGTGTTATAGGAAAAAAAATCCCCAAGAAACAATTTAGTGACAAATAACAATTTAATAAATAGCTAGTGAGTCAAGCATAATTAGGGAAAAAGTCCCAGATATTGGATCAATTTGCGGTGACCTGGGAGGCACTCTCCTAGTTGGTGTGACTTTCAGCACCACTCTAACCAATTCGTGCGCACCAAGACAGGGCGTGACACCTTCTCCTTGTCAGATAAATATATATATATATATACATATATTTTTTATATAATACTAACTAAAAAATGAAAGAAGAAAAAAAAAAACAAAAACAAACAAACAAAACAAAACCCTCTCTTAAACATCTTGTGAAGCTAGAACCAAGTCTGCAGAACTGGAAAAGGCAAAGTGATGGATTAAGCTGTACAGTTTCAAAATAACATTTGTCCTTGGACAATTACTTTGCACTTCTTCTTATCTACATGATACACTCTAGTTATCAAAAAAAAAAAAATTGTTTTGTTTTGTTGGCTATAGTTATCAATTAATTAGCTTTACAACTAACTTGCACTCTACTTGTGGATAAGAAGATCAATGGGATATAAAGTCTTGTTTATACATTCTGTTTTCTTGTCCAATAAAACTTTTTAAAAATTTAGTTCCAAAAGAAGATGGATACAACTCAGGCCAATAATTTATAATACTACTAAATTTAGTTTGTTATGATTTTTTTTTTGGAAGATTTTTTTTTTTCCAAAAAAAAAAAAAACGTTAAAACCCATCAGTACCATTTAGGTTAATGCAAAATTAAAATATTTCCAAAGCCATAAGAAGAATATTAAAAAATGAAAAAGTTGGGTTTGTGAGAAGATGACGGACCTGTTGCAGGGAGTATCTAGAGTAGGAAAGTGGGTGAGATCAGAATACAAAGAAGGAAGAAGAAGCTTTGTCCACCATTGATGGACTGACTTTGCTGCCTCCCAATTAAAATGAATTAGATGTTCACCCAATTAGACAAAGAAGAAGCCAATAAACTGCAAATTATATATTACTAAGATCAATCAACAAAACCCACAAAAAAGGATCGACTTTCTAGCAAGAAAATTATATTAATGAAGTAGCTTAGTTTATAGATTGTGCAAAGAATCTACTCTTATACGAATTATGAAATTTTATATTATTCTCAAAGTACGCGAGATATCAGGTTCCTCAATGGATTAAAAAGAAAAAGAAGTGAAGACAATTGTCTATTTTACTTCATAATAGCAATATATAGCATAACTCCTTCAAAATATATATATAAGAAAATTTATTCTATTTTATTTTATATTTTATTTTATTTAATAATTTTTTTTAATAGAAACTCACTCTTACATTCCACTTTTTTCTTTTAAGGGATTTAAACCTAGATCTTCTATTTTGAAAGGTAAAAAAGTGCCACTATTTTAAAAGTAAAGTTTATGTTTTGCATTACAATCATATGTTTGAGAAAATTTAGAAAACTTAACTGCAGAAGGAATATATATTTTTAGCCTGGAAATTGGTTGAAGTTTGATTAGAAGTTAGAGGGTAAGTAAGCGACTCCAACAGAAGCTCACACACCAACTGTACGGCTTCCCACCAACTGGGACATAAAGCACGTCTACCATAAGGAAATTCCTAATGTAATACCATAAGAAAATTGAAAATTGAAGTCCAAATTAATGCGCTTAATGTACAATTTGGAAGGATGAGCGCGACAAGAACTTATCTTCTGATTTCAAGTTTTAAAAATCTTCTCCAGCATTCCACAATTCTAAATCAAAATAAAAATTCAAAGAAGACCTTTACAATTCTTCTTTTTTAATTTTTCTGTCTCATTTTCACCAAAAATTTAATATTCAAAGTTAATCATAACTTGATCCTAATCCAAATACAGAGTTCCATGCATGACTACTTACCAAATTAAATATTGATCTTTGAACCCACCCCCCGTTTTCCTTTTTGTTACATTTTTTTTTTCCTTAATTTCATTTTCAGTACAAATATGGTTGTTAAGCAGTGAACAATAAAGCGAACACTCAAGTTTTGTGCATCTAAAACATTTATGTTAATTATATGCATGTGTATATATGTGTATATAGTGAATGTATACGCAGTTAGGGTTCATTAATTGGGAAATAAGGGAATTGAGGAGTGAAAATTACCGGCGGTGGGATTAATGTTGAAGACGGCAGAGAGTGTTAGAGGACTCGTCGATAGGAGAGCAGAGGATATCAAGAAAGATCGTTTCCGGCTGCTGTTGTTGTTGGGCTCTTCAAGACCTCCATGTTGATACCCACTTTTGCGAAAGAGAAAATTAGTTCGCAATGACTTGAATTGAAAAGAAAGAGATCGATATTGGGGAAGACCATACAAGTTTTTCAGCACTAGATGTCATGTAAAGGCAGAGGGATCATCATCGTCTGAGATAGAAGACGGAAGGAGAAGAGCTAGCTAGGGCAATCCTTCAGAAAGAGGGCAGAACAAGTTTAATATAATTGAGAGGGTTCTGCGCAAGTGTCTCCCTTGTGGGCAAAATATATATATGCTAATTGATCGAAACTACGTCGTTTTAGAAGGATAGTTTTGTAAAATTACCTGGTAAGTAATCAAGGACGGTACGTTTACCGTCCCAAAAGGCCATTTTCATAATTTTTTTATTAAAAAAAATATAAATATGGCGCTAAATTTTCGCGCTAACAAATTGGAGACGGGGGAATTTTTTTTTTTTTTTTTTTTGGTATTTTAGGCTTTTTTGGGTAATTTGGGACAAACTGCCCCTTCCGTCCCAAATAAACTACCTTTTTGGGACAAATTTGAAACTGTCCCTAATTGTCCGTCCCTGTTGCCCAGAATTCTTGTAGTGTTTGACTCTTAAGCATGAGAGAAATAT